TATATATATATTATATTAAAATACTACAAAATGCTTAATCAAACGGAAATATATTAAAGGAATTATATATAGAACTGATATAATCTTATATACATATTAATTTAAATAAACATAAAATATATTCAGAAACATAAATAATTGGATTTTGCATTGAATTTTGCATAAGACTGATGAATAAAGTTAAAATCAATTTTCAAATTTACTCAATATTTAATTATTCTGTTTTATTACATTTCGCTTAAATCACCAATTATTTGTTTTGGTATTATTGACGCTAGAGAAAATTCTAAAGATGTGATGCACATGTTTTCTGGAAACAAATATTATTTTTATTTGTTTTTTTAACCGAATGGTTACTCCTTTTTAGCGATTATAGATAATATTAAAATAGCTTGAAATTCAGTGCAAGAATTATATCTTTCTTTTTCAATTGTTTTTACAGATTATTTCTTAAGTGATTTTATTATATATTTCTTTCTCATTGTTATAGGAATTTGTTTTATTATAATAAATAAAAAATCTCATCATTTAATATAAAACATACATATAAAAACGGTATTGCATCGCTGTTGATCATTCAGGTAATCACACATTTGATAAACATTATGAGGAGTTACGAAGCGTATGTCCGGATCTCAAATTGAATTTCCATGGAAAATATTCGCTATAGAACATACAGAAGAGCATATGAAAATGAGTTGTTAACAATTCAAGAATTGTTCAAAACAGTGATCTTCGAGTTTAAACTCTCATCCGATGATATTGTGTATATTAATAACTTCTACTATATAGGCGTTCATTAATCAGTCATAATTCAACAAGCCGAGGTCAAAAAGATTATCGGCTCGGATAGTACAAACATAATTTAGAATTTTACTTTATTCAGAATTTTGTGTCGTGACAAACAATTTATTGTAGTCGCCTTGCGACTAATTTATGCAGTGTTTAATATTTTAATTCTATCTTTATTGTGAATGCAAATTTCGCTACGTGTATATATTTTTCTTATAAATAAAAAATTAAAAACGTTTTGATCTGTGACTTATTTGAAACAATTATGTAAAAGGATATTCTATATGGTTTGTGTTACAAATGTTAAGTGGTGTGCGTGAATAGAATATCATTTTAGAACAAAAGATTGACCTTTGTACAGCAAATTGGATGAGCCGAGACGCCGGGACGATAACGGCTTTTTTCTGGTAACCATGATTAGCAGTTTCCTTCAAAAAGACACCGGCAGTACTTTTGCTGGATCCGTCTACATAAATTGAGAAGAGAAATTCGTGTGTTGCGCATTACAGAAGCGAGGCCGCATCTACAGATACCGAAAAAAAAGATTTACATTTGCGATGGAGTCTTTGGCGCACCTGGCATCTCCGTCATCTCGTCGAGCATTCGTAGTAATACAGGTAAAACGTTTCACGTGCCATTTTATCGTTAAATTACGAGCAAATAAAAGACGCGAAAGTTGTTATCTTGTATATTTCGAGATGTTAATTATTTATTTTTTTTCTTGTTTGTAAATTAGTAGCATTGCGAAAATTTGATGGACATTTTATAATGGTTTTATAATGGAATTATCATCCCATCAAACGTATATCAATGTTGATCTTTTGTTTACGGAGCTACCAAATCGAGCAAAAATAAAAAAATGAGAGTACTACGAATGATTTTTTTTCTTGGTATGAATGTACGAAAGGTAAATAAATTATGAGTTTTATTTCCTTTCCTTTTGATTCGTGTTTATCTGGTCGCAAAAAGCCAGCAGATCGCGGTTGTCGAATGATCTTGCATCTTTATTGCACTGCGTTCTGATTAGAGTTTTGTTCGTTGATGCTCTTTGCTTGTGGCTCGAAGAATTTTTATCTACGTCGCTACCATCAATATCATAATGTTAATCTCTTGCCGCCTGTTAAATGCAACATCATGTTGTTTTGACAATAGGTAACAGATCGGTTTCGTCATTGTTTATTATAAGCATTTATATTCTCTTACGTAGTTCTCGCGCAATTTTTATTATAATATACTATATTATACATTTCTTTAATTTAAATATTCAAGCATTTAAGTTGAATACTTAAATATTTTAACTAAAAAAATAATAACCAATTAAATGCATTTAGACTAGGCAATAATAATATTTTTTCTCCATGTAAATTTGCAATATATGTCTTGTATATTATCTAACATGTATGTGTGCATACATCACTACTAGAACAGCAATTACCGGTCGTAAAAAATTTTCTGGTGAGGATAAAAAGCAAGGATCAATTATTTACAAATTATTATCATAACTGGTTTGGAAAGTAACAATCATGATCAGCAGAATACGCAAGAAAATCACAGTAAGATTATATACATTATGTCATTACGTGAAAAAATAGAGATTGTACTTTACACATTGCCTGAGATAAAGCTTATTATGTATATATTGTAACGTTTCTTAAGTATGCGTGCTTAAGAGTTATTACTTAAATATACTATATGCAAACGGTTATTGTTTCAATCAGTTTCTGTCACGTATTTCATTGTTATCAAAAGTCAGTTCCCAATACAGCATTCTGCCAATCGTGCAGAAACACTTCAAACGCTTGCAAGGAGAAATCATATAAGATAAATGATCTGATTTCATACGTTGCATTATATGAATATTTATATGTACCTGGTTCGAGTAGCGCAAACGAGAACGAAATCTTTATTATTCAAGTCTCGTTTGCAGTATCATATCGCGATTGAATCTTGAATCGAGAAAGAAGTCGCGATTGCAGTATCATATCGCGATTGAATCTTGAATCGAGAAAAAGTAAAAGCAATTACATATAATCTTCTGCTTTAAAAAAAAAAAGTTATTCTAAACATCTCCTCTCTCTTTTTTTTTTAGTTATTTTATTATATTTAATTATATTACATTTATATGTACAAAGTATGATAAATTATAATACGTGATAAGTGATGAATAGTGATATCTGCGAAAAGTGTCAAATATCTTGGTAAAATATCATTGTTTGAACATTAAGTGCTTCGACATAACAGTAAGTATCGAAATCTTGCATTTTTTTCAGTATAATTTAGTTAAAACTCGTGGTTTTGCTTTTTATTTTTTTCAAGACACAAAGTAATTCACGCGAAGTTAAAATGTGATTTAATAAAAAAACTCATGAAACAAAGTACGGGCGGATATTTTTTGAGGAGAGATCAATCTTTGCTATCTCGATTCTTTAAATCCTATTATATAAAATTAAGATAAGTAATCATTCGGAAACAAAATTAACAGTGTATATTTAAAATTTTACGGATCATAATTCTTTGAAACTCGGTTATATACGTATATGTCAATTAAACAGTAATGATGGAGCGCTTACATTGTTGCGCAAATGTATGTGTGTTTGATTAAAAATTTGAAATTCAATATTGCTTTAGTATTTTGTAAACATCATATATATCATATATTTAAATTATTGTTAAAAAAAGAATAATTATACGTTTTAAGCCGCAAAACTTTTAAAGACTTCAATGAAATACGGTAGAAAAATAAAATATAAATAATTCATTGCGATTTTCGTGAATTTTTCGATTAATAAGCACAGATTCCAAATTAGGAAGAGTTACATAGAAATAATCGAGAAATATTCCGCCGACGAAATATTTTCATCCACATTGATTTTATAATCGATTTTGATCGATGATATGTATTTATATACACATTATATGTATATTAATCTTCATCAAAAACGTGTCTTTATAAAATTTTCTCAGTTAATACAGATAATAATGATATAAAAATTATGTCAATGAAATCTTTGTCAATGTGTGTATGTAAAATTCCAATGTTTTTCTACATTAAGAAGTATCTATAGTAATTGTTATTTATGCATTTACATATTTTTGTAACTTGAGCTCTTTAATATGTTTACAGGTTACGAGAATGGACTTAATCTCTTTGATACTGTGCGCTTTGTTCGCAGTTTTAATAATCCCCGCAATTATATCGACAGTACATCATCAATATGTTCTTCGACAAAAGCTCAAGAATATTCCTCAGATCGGTAGATTTCCTTTTGGCATGGCATTTGAATTAATGAAGCAGACGGATTATGGTGAAGAACTTTATGAATAAGATATTGCTATTACATGCTTTTACAAATATCTTTTATATATTTTTAGTAAAAAGTTTAAAGAAATTAATAAATGAAAAAAATTTGTCATTTATTTTAAATCGGTATAATAATTAATAAATATTGAATATCTGATTATGTGCTTATTCCCACAGGACGCAAGGAATGGCTTCAGCAATGTATGTTGCGGTTTAAAGAAGGAGTTTTCATATTTTGGGTTGGCATGAAACCGTTCATTACTCTCTATAAACCTGAACTTTTAGAGGTAAGAATGAAAAGAATCTTATTTACGGCATAAAATCTTATAGTAAAGTATCGGTTATTATATTCTTTGCGATGTAAATGTATAAATAGTAATTTAATATCATAAGAAAATAAAACTATTTTTAATAGTGAAATAGAGAAAACTTTTATAAACGTATTATTAAAAATTATTAAAAAGTTTCTCGATGTAATAGAGAAAAAGGATTTCGTTAATGGTCAGTAATACAATTGTTATTATTGTATATATGAAAAATATGTCCATATTTTGCTGTTATAATGAATTATTTGATATTACAACAAAACTTTTTCTTTCGGTGAAATAGAAAAATTTTTACTTATTAAATTTATTTGTAAAAATACAAATTTACTGTTAAAGTAAAATAATTTATTCCTAATAAGTGCTTTTAGCCATTCATTGTTTCAGTGATTGTAGAATAAACAGTAATTTATTATTTTAGAAAACAATTTTATTTGTGTGTATTGTATCGTATCGAGTTTGTATGTGTTGTGCATGTGCATATAGTGTCGATAAATCTCAATACTGTTTATTTGAAAAGACTCTCTTGTTTGATGATTATTTGAATTTGCTTGATTTTTATTTGAAAAGAGATAATTCGCTTGATGATCTTTGTATCTTATATAGAAAGAAAAATATGCTGACTCAGCGGATGATATTTCACATCGCCGAAGTAAATTGAGATCTATTATAATATTGACAATGAAAAAAGATTTGGTTGCAAGATTAATTTCTTTGTTAAAAATAATTTTGATAAATTATGACGCGTGGACGCAGGTTCACCCACACATACACGTGTGTGCGGGCGAGCGCGTCATAATTTATCAAAATTATCTTTAACAAAAAAATTAATCTTGCAGCCAAATCTTTTTTTCATTGTTAATATTATAATAGATCTAAATTTACTTCGGCGATGTGAAATATCAAATCTTTTTTTCATTGTCATTATTATAATAGATCTAAATTTACTTTGGCGATGGAAAATATCATCCGCTGAGTCTGTATATTTTTTTTACTACATAAGATGCAAAGATCAAGCAAATTATCTTTTCAAATAAACATTAAGCAAGTTCAAATAATCATCAAACAAGAGAGTCTTTTCAAATAAACAGTATTAAGGTGTATCGACACTATCTGCATGATAATAAAAAGAAGATATATTCAGATTAAGAGAATATATATATATAATCTCTTCTCTCTGTACTATACAGGGTGTCCCATTTTAATCTATCACCCCTCGTAACTTTGCATTGAAGGTGACCTTCATGTGATCTTCAAACAACTATCCAAGGTCACACCAATAACACCCTCTTATGTACCCCTCAAAGTCAAAAAACTTTTGTATGAAATATTTTTCTCTACGACCGTTCCCTGCAAAGTTACGAGGGGTGATAGATTAAAATGGGACACCCTGTATATACCATATAGAAGAGATTATATATATATATTCTCTTAATCTGAATATATCTTCTTTTTATTATCATGCAGATAGTGTCGATACACCTTAATACTGTTTATTTGAAAAGACTCTCTTGTTTGATGATTATTTGAACTTGCTTAACCATATTTATAGGAAATTTTTTGTTCAGAATTAAATTTCCTATAAGATCTTAAAGTCTGGCTGAAACGTTCGGGGCCACCCTGTATATATATATTCTTGCATCTACTATATTATATCTGCGTCATCAAAAAAACTGAATCGCCTCTCGAGTGAGATATTTCATGGTAAACCTCATATTCCTCAATTATATATTCCAAGTTAATTCAACGATCTAGTCAATTATCGGTTTCATATTTAGAATATAAATAAAAATGATAAAATAGAATGTCTTTTTCTACTGGTACATCAGGAAAAATGTAATTAACGATACATGAAAAAATAAATCGTGAATAAAAGTTTTGCATATGAAACTCTGTTTTTAAAAAAATTAGAAATATGAAAAAAGATATTCTATTTAACATAAATGTGATAAATTATTACGCGCACGGTTATATTCTTTTTAAACACATTTTTACAGATTATTTTACCTAGCACCGTAAATATCGAGAAAGGATTTCCTTATCATATGATGGAATCTTGGTTAGGCAAAGGGCTTCTAACTTCTACAGGTAAATACATAAACTCTTTTACATCTAAATAAACTAATAAAGGCTGTTATGAATGTATCATACAAAGAAGACAAAAGGCAATCAAGAGCTAGCGCGGTAATTTGTGCGCATATGTTTTATTACAATCACAAATTACATTGATATTTTAACTAAGTGATAAACATTATCATAAAAAGCGTACTTTCCGGTCTTTTTTTTGGACCATCTTCAGCACAATTACAAAGTATAGGGAATATATTATATCAAAAATGTAATAGTAATAAGAGAAACAGAGTGAATCACCCATGTTGTCAGAAAATAAATGTTATATAATGGAATTTCGAGACGAAAAAAGACTGTCCGATAAAATATACTACATTAAAAAAACATAACTGGCAATACAAATATACCGAACTTGAACGAGTCATCCATATTGTACAAAAGGCAAATGTTACACACGGATGTTCGAGACAGATTGTCAAGTCTCTTCATATCGCACGATACATAAAGTAAATATGAATACAGAGGAGTGTTTACAAATAAGACGGCGTGACTTTCAAAGTTTTGGTAACTTATAACTTACATCCGTAGAAGCATAATATAAACATTCTGTGTCTATCTGCAAATTAAGTTTATTTTCTTGCCTTTTAATGTATACCATCATAGAAATTAAGCGTTTCTTAAGCAAAGCTTCACTATCCAGAATTTTGACTTTATCCCAATCAAAATCGTAATTAAATTCTAATCTATGATCAGTTAAAACAGAATGATTCGTCGTATTCCATCTAATATGATTGCGATGCTCCTTGTACGAAACTGTCTGTCTGTTTGACTGATGTATGAGACATTACAATTACTGCAGTTAATTTTATAAATGACATTACTGTGCAAAGCTTTAGGAAGAGTGTTTTTGTGAACTCTAATATAACTATATTAATTTATTGAGATTAAAGTTTTTTACATCTACTATTTTTAATACTTCATTAAAGATGAAAAATAAATTACAGCCTACATTAGATTATGCATTTTTGATGTATGGTTATTCGCGAAAACATCTTGAACAAATCACAAGAAAACGAAGGAGTAAAATGTCACTAATACAAATACATAAATTTTTGTATATATGTACATCTGATAAAAAATAAGAAGATATTTTTTCGTATTCTTATCTTTGTGTGATTACTTATGTAACTGATTTTACATATTATTAATTATTCATATTAATTGGCACGCTTTAAAACTTTATTCAGTTGTTTGTGGAATTTTTTCTATTTACACTACAAATATTCCGAAGCGATATGCAAGAAAAACAAAACTAAAATACAATATAAAACTGTGCAATAAAATGTTCTTTCTTTATTTTTATACGAACTTTTGCGCACTTATATTTTTTATCTCTCTTACGATTTATTTAACACGTAAATGTATTGTTGATTAAACTGCTTCAGGAAAACAATGGAATCATGATAGAAAACTCATCGGGCCGACGTTCCATTTTAGTATATTGGATCAATTTGCCGTGGTTATATCCGAAAAAGCAGAGATTCTGACAAAATGTCTCGAGAGAGAAATAGCAAAGAACCCAGGAAAAGCTATTAATATTTTTCCGTTCGCTAACAATGTTGCTCTCGACATTATATGTGGTAATAAACATATATATATCACATCATTATAATATATAATATGTCTTGTAGACAAAAGTATCGCTGACACAGTATATTTTATGCTGCAACAACAAATTTTCAGTTACATGATATGAATATTATATAAAAAGACTTATCAAGTACTATAAATTTTAATTTTGCTGAACTAATATATAAGTTCTTTCGTTATAATAATAAATTGATTGCTTATTTATTTATTTATTCATTTATTTCGCTATTAAATCAATATTTAAAAATATGTTTGCTAAAAAAATAGATGATTTTGCTTTAACATTGAATTTATTCTCTACGATCAAATTTAATCGGCACACAAGATCATTCTATTCTGTTGAGAAATTAAGTTTTACCTGCAATATCGAATAATTGATTTCTGTATCGAATACCGTTTGTTTTCATGAAATGAAGTTTATTGAGGCTCCGTTCCAATATTCACTGTCAGTACTGAAAATCTATACGTTTACACAGTACTGGCAGTTAACATCGAGACGCAGCCTGAATGTGTTGTGGCAATAATGGTGTTGCTGTAACAATAAAAGACTTTCTCTTTTTATATATATAATCACGGATTACAATACTAGTATAATTTCGATGACCTCGATTTCCGACATTGTATATATATGTATACCAACGCAGAAATCAAATCTTACGTGACATTTTTTATATAATTGTGAAAATAAATATATGATTTATTCTCGTAGATATATAAATATAAGCAAAATTTTATATCAGTTCCGGTGTATAAAAATTAATTATTTGATTCAATATTATTTTCGAGAGTTATAAGTATCAATTTTATTCTTTTATATGGAATTTGTAAGGAATATAGCATACATTGACAAGCAAGTTATGGCGATAATAATAATAAATAATTATTTTGCAGAGACGGCAATGGGTGTGGATATACATGCTCAAGAAGTTGAAACCGAGTATACCACAACAATACATAGGTTCGAAAAGTCACGAGTTACATTATTTTGTTAGTAATAAAATAGTTAACAGCATTAATGACTTATTAAGAAGATCTGTTTAAGAATTAACAACAGAATTTGTTTGATTAATTTATATTTAATATACTTAATAGCATTAATATGTTATTATATCAGTTTAACGTTTTGATCGTATTTTTAGAAGTTCTAAATTAATAGCCGACCGATTTTGTCAACCGTGGCTTTGGTCAGATTGGTTGTATAACTTAGTGCCTTCAGGAAGAAAATATAATTCAGAACTTAGCAAAATACATAAATTTACGAAAGAGGTACGCGCAAAAAGTAACGCTAATGATACATTTAATACATAATACACTTAATACATAATGTATTAAGATATCGGCAGAATTTTATTAAATTAATTATTTACATTATTTTTTGTTGGGATGAATTCAACAAGCTTACAACGAATAAATGATAAATTTCAGGTGATACGTAAGAAGAAGATCGCACGACAATCGGGAAACAGGTCTACCAAATCGGAAAACGAGGATGACGAACTTGATATAGGTATGATTATTAAATTATTAAATTATCGTTATACATATGCTTTGATGGCTTGTGTAAATATTTTTAAAATTATTTTCATGAAATTTATTTCGATAGGTAAGCGAAGGAGGAAAGCTTTTCTGGATCTGTTACTAGATCAGAATGAGAAGGACGAAACTCCGTTAACTGATGATTACTCTCATTTACCGACCGTGCGAAGAGATATTCATCCATTTCACGCCAAAGAAATAACCAATTTATCAGCAAATATTGATTTTTCTTTATCGTGCACAATCTTTATAATCTTTCCCGACTATCAATCCCGACATCAAATCGAAATATAAAGCAAATATATGCGTTACCATTGCATAACCAAAAGTTAAGAGAATATAAATGGTTTATGAGCAATTATTTCTTATGCAAATGTCGTCGATTGTTTTAATCGCAATATATTAATAATATATATTATGAAAATGAAGCACACAGCACACAGATTTAAATCAATATAATAACTATAATAAATTTAAATTTAATTGATACATAAAAACTGGATTAGTTTGTCACTTATATTTTCTTTCTCTTTTTGGAAATTTGTCTTGTAGTTTATACATTATCTACGAGTGCGTCTTCAAAGAAAAGCGATATGGTTTTTTCAATTGACTCATTTCAAATTTTAATCGATATAATTTTTCAATTAACTCATTTCAAATTTTAATCGATATGATTTTTTCAATTAACTCATTTTAAATTTTAGTCGAAAAACGACTTCTATACAAATTTTAAATTCCGCACGAAGTTTCATAATTTGAAAGAGTTTTAAGAAAATCGGACTGGGACATGTATTCTCTAGATTTCAGTGTATCTCTATACAATCATTATCAAAATGACAGTTAATATCTAATTTATCACTTCGGCCGGGAATAGACATTGTGTTTTTATTATTCCGGATTAAATTGAATAAACAGTTGGATGTTAGATTATGTGACTGTGATAAATTAAACACCGATGGATATCTAGTCTGATATGAGAAAAGCATTCGCTGATTAAATTCAAATTTTGGCTACGCTTGTTTGTTTATGTATTTTTATTGAATAACAATAACATAATTCGTAGTTTCAATTATTTTACTACATTATAATTATAATTATATTGTAAATCACCGACAGCTATACGCGTGACGATGGTGTTTGGACGTTGTTTGCTTATTTGTACAGATTTTACACAGGTTTTAGTGAGTCTTCCTTTCTGATTATCAATTTTAACTTAAAATTTGACTACAACAACAAATATGGTATATGTCAAGTTTTAAAACATTATTATAATCTTTATATATTTATATCTATGCTGAAGATGGACCAAAAAACGTTTTGAAACATACATTTTTAATATACATGTATTAGTAAAATTCAACAATAATAAATTCGTGCACCAATATCCGCGCTTTGGCTCTTATTTGCCAGTTTTTCCACTTAACAATTAAATAATTAATAATTAATAATTAATAATTATTCGACATTGATATTGTGTTATGCCTCCGGAGAGGCACGGTAGTTGGGATCGTTTGCCGGAAGGAATTTGGGAATTCGGGCTCCGCCCGAGTAACTCACTGATTTTATTATAAATAAAAATGACACCTTTGTATTCGGAATAAATATATATATAACTATTTTA